CTCGAGCGTAAGCGAACGGCGACATGGGCAGACTTCATTTTCTGTCAGAATGAAAAGTGGACATCATACGACACTCCACACAGAAAATTGCAGCGGTAACCACCAGACTCAAAGGACGGTTAAGCACATTCCACCATATCCACACCGATACATGAAGACTACGTTTACGTTTCCACGGAAGAGATGCCGCTTTGTCTCACGTTCATCGACTTGAAGAAGGCCTTCGACTCTGTGGAGACAGAAGCGGTCATCGAAGCCTTGGGCAACCAGGGCGTCCCTACTCAGTACATCAAGATTCTTCGTGAGCTCTACAGCAACTTTACGACCAGGATCTCACCATTCTACAAGGAGGTCATCATCGACGTCAAGAGAGGGGTTCGACAGGGCGACACCATCTCGCCCAAACTCTTCAGCGCCGCTCTCGAGAACGTCATGCGTCAACTGGAATGGGAAGACATGGGAGTGAAGGTCGACGGCCGGCAACTACACCACCTTCGTTTTGCTGACGACATCGTTCTTATAACGCCGAACATCGAGCAAGCGGAGCGAATGCTGGCTGATTTCGACTGCGCCTGTGGTAAGGTCGGTCTACAGCTGAACCTAACGAAGACGATGTTTATGAGAAACGGATTGGTTCCTGATGCCCCATTCACGCTCAACGGAACGAACATCACCGAATGCTCCAGCTACGTGTACCTAGGTCGGGAAATCAATATGATGAACGACCTAGCTCCAGAGCTGAGCAGGAGGAAACGAGCGGCTTGGGGATACAAGAACATCGAGGGAGTAGTGAAGAAGACGAAGAACATCCGGCTCCGTGCCCACCTCTTCGATTCCGCTGTCCTTCCTGCCCTAACCTACGCCTCAGAGACTTGGACTCTGCGCAGGCAGGACGAGCATGCGGTCAGCGTTATCCAACGCGCTGTCGAGAGGACGATGCTAGGAGTAACCCTATACACGCAAGTGCAGAGGGGAATCCGGAGTTCCGAACTACGCCAACGATCGAAGATCAGGGACGCTGCCGTTTTCGCCAAGGAATCGAAGATAGGTGGGCCTCCCTCGAGCGGTTGATGGCACCGCTTGAGCAAATCGATGAACAGCGGGGCGACATTTGATACAGGTAATAAAAACGCCTTCTATGTCTCGATTGGTACCATATCCGGACCAATCACCCTTCCTGACTGCCATCTTCTTTATTTCTCGACTGAAGTCATCCTTTGTCTTGCCCAAAGAAGGACCAGCAGCTACCAGTTTTCCCATCCGCCGTGACTCTTCAGGACTGCCTTCCTCAGAAGGGTTCCGTTGCTGTTCTTTACACTCTTCATCACCCTGATAAATACATAGACTAGCTCGTGCCAAGCTTTGGCCGATCAGAAGACGAATTTCTACGCATTTCGAACTCTCTGGCTTCTCGTACAAGGCGTCCATTTCTGTGTTCTTTGCCTTGGCGACGGCTGCCTTAGCGAGCCTCTTGCAACTCTTGTAGCAGCGAGGTCCTCAGGGCTCCGGGTCTTCTGCCAGCGCTTGTATGCTTCCTTCTTCCAGTTCACGACCCGCTGGACTTCCTCGTTCCAGATTTCCTGCTAGGAGAAGGGTGTGCTACGCGTTCAATTTTTACGCCCGGGACTATCTTGAGGTCCTTCCCAGTTTTCCCAGCTATAAGGGATGGTCTTTCACGCACATGGTCGATTTCCGTTTCTCCCTCCACTGCTGTAGGTTACCTTCTGAGTCTCCCTTTTCGCGAAGAACGTGCTGCAGATTGCCAGATCGTGGGCCGTAGCCAGGTCCAGGACCCTCTCTCCCTCGGCGTTCCTCACTCCTATTCCTCTACCTCCGTGCACTTTTCAAGCCTCTTCTATTACTGCCGACGTGGCCATTCAGATTGGAATCGTATGTTCGCTTTCATTTCATTAGTTTAACACATTTTTATAAAATAATGCGTACAGTTATCATGGTTTATTTTTAACATATTTTTATGTTTACTTGATATTCTTTGAAGTTAATACAACATATTTTAACGAAAGAAGCGTTCGACGCACCCTGAATAGGCCATCTTAGATTAATCTCGTCTTTGTTCTCGATGGAAGACAAATTCTTGAGGAAATCCTGTGCTGAGAGCAGCACCTGGAAATCAACGGCTATCAGCGTAAAGCATTGCATAGCTCGGACCTCACTTTTCCAATTATCATGCCATTTTGATAAGCCATTGCTCACTTATGATTTAGTTTTGGATTGAAAATTGAAAGAAAAAATAAAATTATTGCCCAATGTGAGAATGAAACAAAACATTCTATTTCTACGCTTAGTCGGCGTACATTTTTTTTACAGGAGCACTTCAGCTATTACCTGTTCTTCCATTAAGTTTTTCCCCATTCCGAAATCTCTGAGGATATGAAGAGAGGCTCGGCGTTGTTCTTTCCAGTTTTCTCCCTGAAATGATACCAAAAAATTCTTCAAATCATATCTCTGCTGACTTCCATTTCATCATTCCCATTTGATCAATAGTAGAATATTTAAAAAATACCTGGGAAAAAATCACTCCACCATTTTCAACATTCTGGAGAAGGGTGTCAGGGAATATCCCACTTCGACCCGCGAAATCGTCACCTGAACATTTTTATTGAGTTCCAGCCTCAGTTAATTCCAGCCATGAAATTGCACGGCAGCCATGAAGTGGGGCTATGAGTCAAGCCTCCAAATTTGGTACTGTATAATTCCGACATACAGGGGGGGGGGGAAAGAGTCACTCTCATTCACATTCAAAACAGAATTAATTACACTTTGCCAAAACCAAACCGAATGAGCTCAATTGCATATTGAAGAGCACATTCTATTCTATCAAAAAATTACATAGGGGCTTTCTACACCGACGACATCAGAAGATTTTCCCACGGAAACATGGTTCACGGTATACGAGCTCAACGGAAACGCTGGTCAAAAGCCATCTTGCATAGTCAGAGCTAGTGTCCCTAAGAAGCCATTCACCAGTTATTGAAGAAATTATGTAGCAGCTTCAGAATGGAGCGATTATGGTAGGCCTCCTTGAGCTCGACGGTGATGACAGATGACGTCATATTCTGGAGACGGTGAAGGCAGCGAAGGTGGGCCTGATTCTGCTTATGGGGGACATCTAAGGAATAATTCGCCGTATAACTCCCAATAACAGCGGCATCCTTTGCGACGAAAAGTTTGATGATATGCGCCATGGGCAAAGTGACTCTTTTTTTTGCCCCCCCCCCTGTATACATACTACATTTAAACTCTCGCTTTGGGTTCGCTGTTGGGCATGGTATGATTTCGGCAAATCTGCACGGTAGTGGGACCACATCACGAAGATCAAGACCATAACGTAGACTACCCAAACAAATTGTTAACTCCGCAGAGAAACCCTTACCGGTAAATGGTTACAGGGTAGGTCTAGTGCCGAGCTACACCGTGGCCGTAACGTAAGTCTGGTGATCAACCTTAGCCATACACTCTAATTTTATTCAATTTTTTTCTCTAATTTCTCGCCCCTTCATTGTTTATCAATTCCTTTTTCAATTCGAGCTTGGACCATGGCCCAAGCCACAACAGTGGAAGAATATGATAATATGCATAGTTACTGAGAGAAGTTCGTAATGGCCTTCGCAGTACACGGGCAACTTCATGTAAATCTACCAGAGTTACATGATGTAAGGTTTGAGCTCAACTAGTCCCTGGGCGGGTTGTGGACCATTATTTAAGAACCTTGTCGGCAAGGGTTTTGATGGTCTGAGCTAATGTCACCAGGGAACTGTGCATCAGTGGATCAACTGAGGACATGAAGTAACAGCTTTAGATTGAGCAGTTACGGGCTTTCTGACTCGATGGTGCTAGAATAACTTCATGCTCTTAAGAGGTGAGCAGAAAGCTAGGTTTTGCTTATGTTCATGGAAAGGGCATTTCAGGAATATGCGTGACACCTCCATCAAAGGGCAACGCCTGCGAAGAAAAGGCCGCACTTTTGCCACAAGCTCGAAGTCCTTTTTCCCGGTCAAAAGTGTTCGCCGAAACGCTTTTCCATGCATTTCATTTCTTCCCTCCAGAGAAGGATCTGAAGATTAGTTTGAGCCTTTCTTTCAAATATCCAAACTCTTCAACAGTCGAAGGTTTTAAAAGCTTTTAAAGGCATGTCTTACTAAAACTTGAAGGGCACTGTTTGAGTGAGAAAAGTGATGCACGAAAAACCGCTTCGGCGAACCCTTTTGACCGCTACTGTTTATATTTTTCTTCCTTCGCATTCCCTTCTTCGGTAACTTTCCACCCGTCATTTTTACCTTGCTGTTTGAAAAGCCAAAAGATTTTCACAGACGTAGCATACACAGAAATGTTAAGTATAAACCTAGGTTGAATACCTCCGGCCAAAGCAGAGAAGAATCTTACCTTTTTTCGCAAAAGCTTCTTTGACAAGCTCGTAGTCAGTGATAACCACATATGGTCTTGGGTAACCAAACAGTGAATATACTACCATATATTTTGGAATATTTCTCGTAGTCCTCGTGTATTTTGCGAATATTTAGCTAAATCAGAATATAAGTCTTGAACTCCGACAGCATTTCTGAAAGTTGTTTTACCAAAACAAAACATCCTGAGTAAACCCGCCCAACAGGAAAAGGGTTCACTGCAAGTGTTTGCACATTTCTGGCGCGTGCTATCTTCCCTAGCCCAATCAGTTGCTGGCAATGACAGTGTTAAAAATTACTCAAACGCTATGATCACGATGGATGGAGGGGAAGTAAGCAAACTAGCCGTTTTGGCGTTCCTGCTGGGGCCGTATACTGAATGTTGGGGAGGGGATGGGTCGACGGCTTTGGAGAAGCAAACCAGCCCTTTTGGCGGAGCTGCTGGACCAGCTGCACCACTTGCGTCATTACTCTCCTACGTACCGACCGAGTTGAAGTAGTCCGTCGACCTCGGGGACCCCATCCCCTCCCCAACATTCAGCATACGGCCCCAGCAGAAACGCCAAAAGGGCTGGTTTGCTTACCTCGATGGAGGGTGGGGCGGTTTTTAGCGTCATTGATCGTCACTGGTAGACAAATCCCTCAATGAGCTAGGAGGAGAGGTTGGCACCACTCCTGCCGCCCTTTCACCAGTTAGTTCAATGAACTCATCAGAGCTACACATTCCCCAGCCATCGTAATCATTGCCTTTAAAGGCAAAAGTCGGGCTCAATAAGGGGGTATTATGGCGATTGAAACTGAGTATAGAGATGCGAAGTGGAACGACAGTGGAGAAAAAACTGAGAAAACAAGGCCGTTAACAAAACCCTCTTTCCCACTAGCAGTGAAGGAGGCTGGCTTGGGGAAGAGGCACGTACAAACAAGTTTTCTGGAGATGTCAGTCGTTCTATCGGTTGATACGGCAATCAACCTAGCTGTTTCACACGTTATGCCAGCCACGCACCACTTCCGGAGGTGGGCGGTCCCGGATTGACGAGGCGGTCCCGGATTGAAACCGAACGGCCCCGGGGGCTTAACGTTTTTTTCAAGGTGGGAAAGTTGCTGCAATGTGTGCAGCTACCCACATACAACCTCCAGGCACGGGAATTACTTCTCTAGCGTGTCTGAGCCCGACCTTTGCCTTTGACGCCCAACCGCTCTGCTGCAGGTACTGTAAAAA